GTCTGAAAGTTACTCTGTAAGTTGTTGTTTATTGTACATTTGCGATCGTGCAGATATTGGAAAAAAAAACAGGACTCTTATTTGTGTGATAGGCTAAGTCCTATATCATAGGCATAGCTATGTTATAAAAACAGAAACTCATTAAATTGCTATTTTTTATTTAAAATCATTTTGATGACATTTCTTCCCCACTGTGTGTAATGGCAGTAAGACGAGAGAGAGCGCTCAAAACTCATCAGATGATCGCATAATTTAGTGGAACATTAATAGGCTATAGTAATATAGAATCATCCTCTGTAAAGAAATGAGGTGTGAACATTTGAGAATTTATCATTATCTTTCTAAATGTGCGATCTTTGGGGCTAAAGGCCTAATGGAGCTGTTTAAAGTAGCCATGTGATAACAAACCAATCGGTGCAGACACGATTCAAAATGTGCATAATTTTTCTATGTGAAATAATCATAAATACCAGTTTATGCTGTTTGATTGTGGCCTTGAAGGTCGTAGTTGTAAGCTGTAGCACCGGCTGGCCCGTTTAGATCTTGCATGCGCAGTGGAAATGCGGCTAATTAATTTCTGAATTCTGACTGGCACATAACGAACAAATCAAACAAACGTAAACGGGCAAAGGCGGGGCCCCCTACAAGGCGGGGCCCATGGGCTGCAGCCCACTCAAGCCCAATGGTAAGTCCAGCCATGGATGTATGGGTTGTTAGGATCGGACAATATCTGGCCGAGATACAACTATTTGAAAATATGTAATCTGAGGGCAAAAAAATCTAGATATTGAGAAAATTGTCTTTAAAGTTGTCCAAATGAAGTCCTTAGCAATGCATATTACTAATCAAAAATTAAGTTTTGATATATTTACAGTAGGAAATTTACCAAATATCTCCATGGAACATGATCTTTACTTAATATCCTAATGATTTTTGGCATAAAAGACAAATTGATATTTTTGACCCATACAGTGTATTGTTGGCTATTGTTACAAATATACCCCAGCGACTTAAGACTGCTTTAGTGCTCCAGGGTCACATATAAGGATTGCTCTTTTATCAATGCCTTTCCATGACTTTTCCATAACCTATACAGGCATTCATGATTACTGCCATTTATTTGATTATCCATAAGTAATCATAATAACCCATTAGGTCAATAAACCCATAGTAATTGTGACTGCAACTGCTTGCCATTAGCAGGTTAGAGGATTCATAGGTTTGAACAATTCTAGCTAATATTAGCAGTGTTGGGAAGATTATTTTGGAAGTGCAATAGATTACAAGTTACCCTATTTAAAATGTAATAAGTAGTGTAACTTATTTGTTTAGGTTGTTTTGACCCAGCGGTTGGGTTGGGTTGTTTTGACCCAGCGGTTGGGTTGTTTAGACTAGGGCTGCACGATAAATTGCATGCGATATTTAATGCGCATCTTATAAGTAAAGCCATTCTGTAATCAGCGGTAAATCTACATCACGTGCGTGCTTTCACACTGAGCAGCATTAACTACACAGAGCCGTTGTTCACAGTCAAGCTGCGCAAAACAAAATATGATCGTGGTTTTGCGCAGCTTGTCTGTGAACAACGGCTCTGTGTAGTAAATGCTGCTCAATGTGAAAGCACGCATGTGATGGAGATCTACCGCTGATTACAGAACCGGCTTTACTGATAAGATGCGCGTTAAATATTGCATGCGATTTATCGTGCAGCCTCGCTCGATTTTTTGCGCAGCTCGTCAGTGAACAACGGTCTAAACAACCCAACCGCTGGGTCAAAACAACCCAATAGCTGGGTTTGTCCCTTTTTAACCCAGCGCTGGGTTATATTTAACCCAGCATTTTTTTAGAGTGAGATTTAAAATTATAACAAGATATAGTTTAATAGCTATGTTGCTGTTTTTGAAATCAAATCTTTGCATAGCTATGACAGGAGAGAAAAAAAGCAGTTAATCTAAAAAAAATAAAATAAAGTAACACCTTAAAATAGTGTAACCTTATTTTGTAATTAAATTATGTAATTCTGTTTTTTTAACTAACAGCTAACTAACACAATAAAACAGAATACAAATATGATGACACAATAAAAAAAAACATGATTTAAGAAAATGAATAAAAACGGAGTTATCTGTTTCTGCAAATAAACTCTTCAAATATCTGAAGCAGACTACTTCAAAGGACAGCTGATGTTGTGGAGTTGTTGTACGTCACACAAACAGACGCAAACAACAGCGGAAGAGCAGACTTACTACAAAAACAGTGACTTTTTACAACTATACCGTAACTTTTCACTCAATACTGATACTGACACTTCCAGGTTTCCCATAAAGCTCGTTTATTTCAGCAGGACCAGTGCTGTGCGTGCAGTAGTTTCTCATGGCTTGAGCAGGAAGTGTAGCTCCACAAACTGCGCATGTTCGCGCAAAGCCTCTCGCTATGTAAGGACCGAGCGCGGGCTAAACGGTAAGGCCAGTCCAGCGCACTGCTCTCGCTCAAACGTAACGGATAAACACAACCGCGCAGCGCGGATCTTCGACGGCTCGTTGACGAGAAGCGTCCGCGGAAGCCCCGTCGAATGGCGGAGGAGCGTCGCGTCGTTTGTGTGTGTGCGTCCCGCCGCACGGGAGACGTCATGAGAACAGAACACCGCGGCGCGACGCCAGCGCGTCATTTAGATACAGTCTCGCGAACGCTGCGTGAATTAGCCGCTCTCGAGGTGTTTGTGAATGTGCTGTTTGTTTGTAAACACACGTTCACTCCCAGACGAGCAAACAAACGGCGAAATGAGGCGGAGGGTTAGCATAGCGCGTTAGCATATCACCACCAGCAGAGGAGTGAGAATGAAATGGTGCAACGTGAAGGGCTAACATGCTAACCGAATTAGCCACTAACACTCATAAAAAGTGCAGTCGCTTAGAAACATTCACCATGGCAACCAACATAGTTTCCGCCAAAGTACCACAGATATTGTTACTGCTGTTAAATCATAATAAATGCACACCAGATCTCATTCAAACGCTGCAGCAGTGTTTTAGTTTGGCACATGGATGATAGCTGATATGGTGTTTTAGTAGAACGTACCTCGCAGAAAGACAGCTGTTTAGTAGTCTTCATTAGAGAGATGAGCAAAAAATTGACTAAATAATATTTGTCTGTTTATTTATTTAGATACGCACATATCTACATATACTATCTACAAGTGTCTGACAGTAAGGCAGTAAGGATTTTTCTTTTAGTTGTGGATATAAAACTATAGGTTATGTAAATAGTAGGTTATGTAGTTAATATAAACCATACTTATATATATATATATATATATGTATAATTATTATTATTACATTTTTTTTTTCAATAGTGTAATACTTGTTGCCACTTGAAGTGTCTGTTTGAAGTAATTTTTCAGGCAGTTTTAATCAGGAATGGCCCACTGGTTTAGGTTTTGGTAACTCTTTTTAATTGCTTTTTTATTTATTTACTTGTTTTATGACTGCACATTTTCCCGATGTGAATATTATGTGTTCAGACACTAGCTTGTAGACAGTCCATGTTCACTGGTTTAAACTGAGTGAATGGTACACACAGTCTGGTGTTTAGAGAGACTCTGACTCTTACAGTGGCTCTTCCAGTCAGGGACTGTGAGGTTAAAAAGGGCATCTGCTGCGACCGGCACAGCTGTGGGTAGGGTTTTCTGACACAGCTGCGGAATCGCTATCAAGAGATTCCAGATGCACGATTTTTATAACCCGAGGCTGCTAATGATCGTTATTCTTGGTGCCTCAATTTATTTCTGTTAAAAAAAAAAGAATTTGAAAATATAAAGCCATAAAGCGTTGAAGTCTACAGTGGTGTTGTGTTTTAAGTTGACACTTTCCATGTTGACTCATGTTATCATTGCTTAATTGTAAAGTTGTATGTATTTATGTTGCTTAAGAGGTGGAGCATGTTACAAAGTTTATATATGATTAATTTCAAAAAGGTTTTCGGAATTACATGAACAAATTAATTGTGCCCAGTAAGACCAGGATTGTGTATTAAGAGAATGAAACATGTTCAATGTTAAAATTAAATGTTTTCTACTTATAATCTACTAATCAGTATAATCGAGTAAAAAAAAAAGAAACATTTAAATTCATATTATTATGATTATTATTGTTATTAGTCATATTATTATTATTATTATTAAAAAAGTGATATTGTGAAATATATATATATATATATACATTATAATTCCAAAGAGCAGTTTTCTATTGTAATATATTTTATTTAAAATTCAGTGTCACATGATCTGTTAGAAATCACTTTTTTTTTTTTTAAGATTTAAAAAATGTAGTACTTTTATTCGAGAACACATTAAATTGATCAACGTGACAGTAAAGACATTTATAATGTTACAAAAGATTTTTAAATGCTTTTTCGAATGCTGTTCATTTGAATTTTCTATTTGTCAAAAAAAATAAAAAATCATGAAAAAAGTATAATAGCTTCCACAAAAAAAACTGTTCAACACTGATAATAATAATGAGCAGCAAATTAGCAATATCAGAATGATTTCTGAAGGATCATGTGACACTGATTTCACTGAATTCAGATTTGATCACAGGAATAAATTACATTTTACAAATAGAAAGCAGGTATTTTAAAGGAGACATATTACGCCCCTTTTTACAATATGTAATATACGTCTCTGGTGTCCCCAGAATGTGTCTGTGAAGTTTCAGCTCAAAATACTCCCC